GACAAAACAAAGGAGAGGAGAGGAGAGGGGAAATTTGGCAAAAAAAAAGCAACAACTGCTTAACAAACATAGAGAGGAAAAGGTGTAAAAAAAGCAGTTGCTGCTTCCCAAACATAGAGGATTGGAGTTGACTACTGCCACATGGTTGCAAGACCCCTGCAGATCAAAATCTGGTAACTTAGATGTGGTAAATAATGGATTAGAGTAGATGAGGAGTAATAGTAGAAGAGTAGAGTAGAGGAGGAGTAGAGAAGTGTAGCAGCCAGTAGTTAAGAGCAGCAGCCACTTAGATACAGTAGTAGTCATAGATAGAGTAGTAGAAGTGAGCCACTTAGTAGTATAGGGAAGTGAGTAGAGTAGCAGCCAGCAGCTAGGGAAGAGAGTAGAGTAATAGCCAGCTAGTAGTAGGAGTAGCTAGCAGTAGTAAGTAGAGTAGTAGTAGTTCAGTAGCAAGTAGAGTAGTAGTAGTTTAGTAGAGTAAAGTGGCAGCTATATATATACATACACACACACAACAAGCTTTCTCTGAATGTATTAGGTACACGAAATGATAATGCAATTGTGAAGACAGTAAATAGGTACATGAGAGTTAGAAGACCGCAAAAGGGGTGCAAAGATCTTAAGGTTAAAGGCACAGTGACAATGCATTTCCAAAAGGAACCAACAAGCACGATCAATGGCAATAAGCAGAAAGAAGGCAACCATTGTCACCAACATTGGCATATATGAAAGCAGAAAGCAAGAAAAATGTATGCACAGTGTAACTTGAATGAATGAGATAAGAGATACATTTTTAGATAAATGTTTCACAATTGTACCACTGATAATGATATATCTTTTATTGACATATAAATGGCAACTTCTTGCAACAGTATAGTACGTATATCCATTGATGTCATAAGCATTCTAAGATGTCACTTGTCTCGATGGCCCCTCCGCCAACCTACTGATGGTAATAGAGTCTATGGTTTCTCCAGGCGGTATGTTTTGGTCCTTCAACCATGTAGTTAGTCGTTGCTTGTGTTGTTTCATGACCCAATCATCCAAACGGTCATTTCTCTCCGCCATAATGATAGCCAAGTGTTTATCAATGTACGGTTGCATCAGTTGTGTACTCTGCAAGACACTGTAATGCGTCTGACTCACCTCTTTGTAATCATGGTCGATGAACACTTTTCTACCACTGGTGCCCTTCCCAGCCAGCCTACCCTTATGACGAGAATCGGGTTTACCAATCCCTTTCTGTACTTTTAGGTACTCTTGACAGCACTCGATGACTTCTTCAGTATTGTAAGCCTCTATCATTGAGCCCTCTGGGTATGCTCGATTATGCACGTATCGACTTAGAACCGACATAAACCGCTCATAGGACCACATTTCATGCAAGTAGCAGTGCCTGTATCTGATGAACCATGTGAATCATGAGATGTGGCATTATATCAAAAAAAAGCAGGAGGTAAACACATCTCTAGTTGGTTTTATGTCTCCACCACAAATTCATGTAGGTCACTCAGCTCTTGCTTGCCAATCGTCTTCTGTGAGATCTTCGAAAAGAAGTAGCACATGCGGGTGATGGCTATTTTCAAGAACTCTGGCTTTATAGCCCTGATTGCAATAGGTAGAAACATTGTCAGCATCATATGACAATCATGAGCCTTACAGTGTGTTATTGACAAGTCCTTCATCGACACTAGCTTCTTCACATTTGCTGAAAACCCAGTCGGGACTTTGACCCCCTTCAGAAAAGTGCATATAGCTCTCTTCTCGTCTGGTGTTAGGTTGAAGTACGCCATGGGTAGAGTGTATTTCCATTAGCCTCAGGTACCAGGTGAAGCTGTGGCATCATGTTTAGCTGCACCACGTCTTTCCGTGCTTTCAGACCATCCTTTGACTTGCCTGTGTCCATCAAGGTAGCAATGAGACTCTCAAAGATATTTTTCTGCACGTGCATAGCATCAATGGCATGGGGGACCTCCAAGTCTAGCCAATAAGGCAGATACTGAAAGAAGATCGATTGTTTCTTGAAAGGTACGCCTTCGATAGGAGGTGTGCTTCTATCTCTGCTCGCCCCATCCGGATTCTTCTTTCCATAGACGACGCGTATGTTTTTCACTATTCTGTACACGTGTTCTTCGTTATGACGTCTCTCCGGAGGGGGTTCAATCTCCGGGGTGTTGTCATAAAATCTAAAGAACAATTTGCTGCGGTACTTGTGACTTGTCTTTAAGAAGCGTCGGTTCCTTAGGTAAACTATCTTCTTGGATGCATCCAGATACACCCATGTAGTACCATCCAAGCAAACCAAGCATCCCGTCTTCCCTTTGATCTGTCCAGACAAAGCAAACAGCGCGGGGTAATTATTGGTAGTAACAAATATTATTGCTCTACATATGAAGTCCTCCTTTCGGAATGCATCGTACATCGGCTCCCCATGCCTCCATAGCCTCTCCATTTCTTGCATCAAAGGCTCGAGGAACACGTCTATATCAATGCCTGATTGTTTAGGGCCAGAAATAAGAATAGTGAGGAGAATGTACTCATTGACCAAGTTGGGATGTTGGGATATTGTACATGGTCAAGATCACTGGCCAAGTGATGTGGTCGCTCATCCTCTCATTGAAGGGATTCATTCCATCGGTGCTCAAGCCAAAACGTACATTCCTTAGGTCATCGCTGAATTCTTTGTGCTTCTCATCGAACCTTTGCCACTGACTACAATCAGCCGGGTGTGCAATCTTATCATCATCCACCTTGCGCTCATCATCCCACCATGTCATGAGTGCGGCTTCTTTAGGGTTTAGGAAGATACGTCTTAAGCGGTCGGTCACTGGCAGGTATCACATTACTAAGACAGGAATTCTTCTCTGCTTTGCATCATTGCCTAATGGAGTGTCCTTTGGGGGCTAAGATTCTTGTACCACCTTTTTTGTACCCTTCTTATTCCTCTTTTTCCCCATGGAGGCTTCGTCTCCACCGTAAAGGTCATTGTTCTTGTACCAGCTGGCCCCCACACCGGGGACATTTATCCAGTGACTTGAACGTTTCGCCACGAAAAAGTATACAGTGGTTGGGGCATGCATAGATTTTTTCAACCCCCATTATCAATGGACTTATGACCTTCTTCGCTTGGTATGTGTTGGCGAGAACTGAGTTTGGTTGTGGCAGCACCCATGATAGGAGATGCAATAGATCATTGAAACTACAGTCTGACAAGCCATACTTAGCCTTCAGGATGAGTAGCTCAAGCACAAAACGTAGCAATGTTCAATGTGTCGAACAGCCCTTTTCAACACCATATACAGTCTCCTTCGATGATTTTATCACCCTTTCCAAATTTTCTAGACCTTTCGAGCTATTTAGTAAAATCTTTGGTCCAAGGCCTCGAATCATGTCCTCCAAATCATCTTTATCCCCGACACGTGCTCCACCATCATTATTGGCACCACCTTCGTCGTTACCATCCCAACCACCAGTATCACCACCTTGTTCATTGCCAAACTCCGAATCCATTCGTGCATCAAGTTCTGCTGAATATTGGGTCAGGGAGGGATTCTAGGGTTTCGTCGTCATATTCCTCCTCATCCTCGTTGTTAACAATAACCGTTTCACCATGATGAATCCACACTGTGTAGTCCTCAATAAATCCTCGCATAATCAAATGTGAACTGATGATAGTCACATCTGTCCATGCCATATAGTTCTTGCAATCTTTACAGGACAAATAATTGTATCCTTATTCTCTGTCAATGTCGTTGCATGCTTCTTTATGGCTACAATAAATTTATCCACCTCTTCACGGAAACCTGCCTTGAACCTTAACGAACCATATATCCAAAAGTTCTTGTACTCCATCTTTTACAACAGCAACAAAACAAACATTAAAGGACTACTTATTCAGATATATATAAAAATGAATCAAATTAATAATTACTTGAGAATAATTGTATATACTTCAGATATATATGAATATAAATCAAATATAATTACATGAAGCATACAAACACACCATGGTAGAAGAAAAATTATTAATGGCCCATTTATCCATAAATAATTAAAATACATATTTGTTGATTATAATAAACAATTTCAAAGACAACAATTAGCAACAATTATATTTTACCCAATATCTTTCATTCAAATCCTAGTCTAATTTCATTAAACACAAATTTATAAAACCAAAATTAATAAAAAAACCAAACCCTAGATCTAGATCTACATGCACATGAAATATCCATAAAACTAACTAATTGTTCACTAAAATCAAGAAACATGGACCAAATAAGGGTATGATCTTGTTCCCCTCCCTAATTTACACTAGTACATTTAAAACTTGGGTCTAATTTGCTTCATAAGTAGCTCAATCACTATAGAAGATAGAGAAAAGCAAAACTCTAATTACTCACTAACCAACCATTAAAACTTCAAAAAAAATGTAGAATAGCATTTTCTTACCGTCTACAATCTCTTCACCAAAGGATTTAAGACCAAAACATTTCCGCCTTAGTAGAGTAATTTTTGGGAGGTGCCCAAGACCTCCCCACCTTTCTTTCACGGGTTGGAGTGAGTGGACCCGAGGAGGAAGAAGATGCTGCAGTTTGCTTTATATGTGGGTCATTTGTAGGAACGGCTGCTGATTGAGCCGCCCCTATAAATCGGAGGTATTTATACGTGGACATTTGTAGGGGCGGCTCAATCACCAGCCGCCCCTACAAATTGCAATACCAGGGGCGGCTGGCGAGTGAGCCGCCCCTGCTATTCCATTTCTAGGGGCGGTTGGTCTCTGGACTCCCGAGCACGCTACTGTAGGGGCGGCTCCATTACCGGCCGCCCCTAAAAAAAAAATTTATCCTGTTGCTATAAACCGTTTTTTACGTAGTGGCAGCTACTGCAGAACGGCTTTGTTTATGAAAGTTCCATCCGTTTTGGTTCAGAATTCCTGCAGTTGGTCCTGGCCCTGCAAATCCGTCAGGAGGAAACCTCCCAATACCCAGCATGCCTCCATGGTGAGTGAAGAACACATATACACGTTGCTTGTTCATTGTTCAAATGTTCTCAAATGTATCAGATTGATTTCCTTCTCGCGCTCCAAATCTATCTATCCGCTTCTCAGGGCCAAGTGGTTGGTTGGTGCCGTCATAGTTGCGATACCTATATAAACAGAGATTTCTGAAATCGTCTGCTACTGCTAGCATGCATATTTTGATTGCAACTGCAACTTTTTTGCGGTAACAGATAAGATAGAGAAGACGGCAGAGGTGGCAATCGAGGTGATCGACACGGTGGCGGAGGCGACAGAGAAGGTCGCCGGCGAGGTCGCTGACGCATTCCCCGGCAACGAAAATCTCAAGGAAGCAGCCTCGAGGATTAAGACGGTCACGGATGCGATCGAGGAAGATGCCGAGAAAGCCGAGGCCCTAATCGAGAAGGTCAGTTTAGTTACGCAATCTATTTTTCTCAGCGAAGAAAAAACGTGAGATATTGCTAACACGAGAGTATTGATTACGGCAGCTGCTAGTGTTGCTACTACGTAAAGCCCATATGGTACTACAGTCTTGCAAGTTTTTTTTAATCGGGTCTTGCAAGTTACTGCCAGCTACTTGCTCGATCTGTTCGGAAGCTGGAGATGCGTGCTGGTCTAAACGATCTCTGGTTGTCTGCATGCCTAGGATTGTGAAAGTGACTAGCACGTTGTCAGTTCGGTGGGTGGGGCCGCGTGGGGAAACCATTTATTTATAAGAGAAGGAAAATTGTATTTATGCTGGTTAGTGTTAGAAGACAAGTGACTAGGTACGATTGGTACAATTAATCACAGATCACAGACTAGGAGTGGGGTCCTTCGACTTCGTTTGGCAATGTGTTCAGTCAATTACCATTTTTAGCTAGACGAGTTGTGACTGGCGAAAGTAGCCCTTAGAATACATCTACATGTGTTTATATTATTATATGTATAAATAAATATGAAGGGGATAACTATTGTGATCGCTTATATTGATCAGGTTGACGAGATAAAGAAACAAGTTGATTCAATTGTTGATCCTATAATCGACAAGGTTGTGAAGGATAATAAAGAAGCATAGACAAGGAACCAAAGAGGACACAATAACAGGCGGTGAATTGAAGGTGTAAACATTGGTTGGGTTGGTGATTGCCAGAAGAAACTACGGAAGCAGACATGAAGCATTTGATGTTTTCTAGTCACATGCCTGTACAATCTATCACTGGCTTCCGTACGAACTACTGTACTACGAGAGAAAGGGTAAAACTAGATGACATTTTTTATGCTTCAATACTAGTACAAGTTGTTGTATTTGACTTAAACATAAAGTCACACCACACATATTTTTTTCTACACCTATACCTAAAGACATACACGTGGCACGGACACATCATCTTGATCATTGTAGAGCATCCACGCTTGAGGCCGCAACTTAAAGCTGCAAAGAAAATGGGAAAAAACCCGGTGTGAAAACCTACCTTGTGAGCAGCGTTTGAAGTCTAAAACCCTAACCCTACCAAAGGGGGGAATGGTCTAACCTTCTTCATCCCTAACAACGATGTCATCTTTGTTGCCGGTGTTGACACTGGCGACCCTTTGACTCGCTTCGTGCTTGTGCCCAAACCCTTCTTCTTGGTGATGATCGACTCCGTCACACCTTTTCCTTGCCCGGCGGTAGGGGTCACCGCCGCCGCGCCTTTGCCCCACCAGGCGGCGATCGACGCCGCCGCGGCTTTGTCCCTCGCTCTGCAAGGCGAGGCGAATGACGGACGACTTCACCTCCTCGTCGAAGTCGATGAGGTAGAAGACGTCGCTGTGCACCGGGATCCATCCCCCTCCGTTGCGACCGCCTGAGGGGGCAAATTGGCCTTCATTTATTAGAATATAGAAATGCATATTTAGAAGCGGCTATTACAGAGACAGATTTAAGAACACAAGAGCTCGTAGTTTTTTTTTATTGTGAGAGCTTTTATTCTACTACCCATTCCAGTTTCTGCGTGCCTATTTTTATTACTTTGTGGTCTTTTTCTATACAAATGGCCACATCATAACCCTAGCTTGGGGAAAAAAATGGCCACGTTCTGACTGACCACGTTCTCCTTTTTAATACTGCTAGTTTTTTTTTAGAAAAAGGGAAGTATATTTCATTAAGCGAATGAAAAAAGTCCCAGCCTCTAATATATAGTGCTAGTTGGCTCACAGAGATAGATCTCACGGCAAGGACAACATCCACTACATAGAGCGAGACAAGCAAGAAGCAACACAAGCTTATTGCTTCAAGCTTCAGCCCTTCAAATCCCATGGCTGCGCTCGGTTCTTCTGTTACCTCCACAGGCTTGGCACTTCACACCTCTGTGATTCTTCGTCGTCGCCACGGGAATCCAGTGGTCTCGGCATCCTCTCATCACCAACGAAGTCTTAATGGCTTAGCGACGAATTCTTCAGGCATGAACAATGCCTTACCTATCAGAGGAACTACTACACGGTAAACGCATATCCTGGCATCAGCTGCCGTAGTCTTACCTATCAGAGGAATAATGCCTCCTAGGATTCACCATGTAGCAAGTCTTCTCCAGACTTTACCTTTTAGTAGTAGCTTGTATCTTGGCAGATATACGGTAAGTTTCATGCAGCTACTTCGTCACCTGTTTTGGTTCAGAATTCCTGCAGTTGGTCCGAGCCCTGCAAATCCGTCACCGTCAGGAGGAAACCTCCCAATACCCAAGATTCTTCCATTGTGAGTGAAGAACAGATACGTGCGTTGCTTGTTAATTGCTTGTTTCTGAATGTATCTGATCGATTTCCTTCTCGCGCGCCAAACCCATCCGCTTCTCAGGGCCAAGTGGGTGTTTAGTGCCGCCATATTTGCAGTGCCTATGTATAGAAGGTTCAGAACATTAGAAGGTAAACAGAGATCGTATGTTCATCGATTTGTGAAATCATTTCCTACAATTTCTAGCATGCATATACATTTTTTTATTGTGAATCTCGCGGTAGCAGATAAGATAGAGAAGACGGCAGAGGTGGCAATCGAGGTGATCGACAAGGTGGCAGAGGCGACGGAGAAGGTCGCCGATGAGGTTGCGGAAGAGTTCCCCGGCAATGAGAGTATCAAGAAAGCAGCCTCCAAGATTAAGAAGGTCATGGACGTGATCGAGGAAGATGCCGACAAAGCTGAGGCCCTGATCGAGAAGGTTAGTTTGATTACGCAATCTATTGCTAGCTAGTTGCTACTACATCAGATTCAGAGCACGTTAGGCGTTTGACTACGGCAGCTGCTAATAAGACTATGAGCAACTTCATGAGATTGACCAATTGCAATTCTGTTTCACTATAACGTGAAAAACGAGCTTCAGCTGATCCTTTTTTTCTTAAAAAAAATCTCAATCCTCTAAAATCTCCCCTCTCATTCTCACAGAAAAAAAAACCCAGCAATTTTCTCACTTCTCAGTCCCTTTTCTTACCTTCCTGTTCATTGACATCTCGGGCCACCGCAGCACCGTATCACGTGAGCGAATAGTCCGTCAAGCTGAGCCGGGCCGCCACCAACCCTCAAGAGTATACAAATAATCCTTAACTATTTACTAATGACAAAAATTAGAAAACATGAATGAGATATCCAGCATCTAGGAGAATATTCCCCTACGAGGGATATCCATATCTAACTCGTTGGTGAACTAAACATGGCTCGTTCATTGACCGCCATCTCCCATCCAGAGATATCCATCAAACCAAACATATCCTCTCTTTTTTCTAAGTTAAACTTCTCTAAGTTGATCAAAATTTAAGAAAATATAACAGCGCCTAAAAGTTCACGTAAATGAACTATCAAAACCTATTAAATTGATAGTTTAATGTTGTAGATGTTGGTACATTTTTCAAAAAACTTTGTCAAAATTGGAAAAAAAAAACATGTTAAAACTAAGGTGGCATATGATTTGAAGAGAGGCAGCCCTCGAAACACTTGGCTAATATATAAGGTGGAGAGGTGTAGTCAACTAAACAAGTCCTTGGCAAGTTAGCATGCGTTTTTTTTCTGGTTACACGTCAGCTGCTGCTATTGCTTGAAGTTCATTGTACTACCACAGTACCATTTCTCATAATGTTCTTTTGTTTTATTGGTTTGTTGGAGGTACGTGCTGATCTGGTAGTCTAGTGCCTAGCATCGTCGTGAATCACGACTCGTGATCGTGATAGTGACTTCTTGCATGCATGTGAAGCACCGGGTCCGGGTGTCTAGGTTGGCGGGCATGGGCCGGTTTCGAACTGAACGAACGCTCTGCGCCGCGCGATTCCTGGCGTGGAAAGCGTGCGCTACTTTTTTTTCCGTTATTTTTCCTTTTTTCTACATTTTTTCTCTATTTTCATTTTTTTCTCTTCTTTCTCATCTAGTTGAATCTCGTTATCACAAATCTACAAAAGTTATGATGAAAAGTTATTGTGATAGATTGTCACATAATAAGTTATGCTTATAACTTTGCAACTTTTTTTAAAGATCATGAAACTTATTCAGAAAAAAAGAAAGTCAAAAAAGTTATTACGAGACATTGTGGTGATAAGCTGTCACCTAATAAGGTATGTATATAAGTTATGCATATAACTTGGTAACTTTCTAAAAACAAAAAATATGTAAATATTTTTTTTGAAAATGTAAGCCAAAAAATTCATGATGAGAAATTGCGGTGATAATTGTAATATAATAAGTTATATAGATAAGTTATGCATATAACTTCGTAACTATATAAAAAGAAAGTTACGTAAATAGTTTTTCCTAACAAAAGAAAGTAAAAAAGTTATGATGATAAGTTGTGGTGATACGTTGTCACGAACTCCGTATTGTAGAATGTTATACGCATAACTTTGTATTTTTCTAAAAACAAGTTGCAAAAAAAATTTTGCCAAAAATTAAAAAGTTGCCAGTTCTTTTTAGTAGCCACGATTTCGTAGCCCCTCATGTAAAATATTTCTATACGTTGAGGTGAACAGCTGAAAGACAGCGGCTAACCACACTTGAGGAGGTGTATGCGTGTGGCGAACTATGGTGATTGGCAAAACTGACCCTTAGGATGCATCTACATGTGGTTATCTTTTGCCCAGTTATTAGCATAGTCCTAGCTCCAGGATCTGGTTTAGATCTATAGTTTGTATAGTTTAATTTAAAATGGTTTGAATATTGGCATTTGATCTAAACTATAAATAAACAAAATGGATCAACCAGGTACAAGTACTCTCAACTTTTATTCAGTTCTAGAACCAATATTTCATAGAAAGCTATAAATACTCAGCTATAAAAATCCATGAGCTAAAGCTCAACAAAATTGTGTCTATATATATATAAATAAATATAAAGCGGATAACTATTGTGCTCGCTTACCATGAGCAGGTTGACGAGATTAAGAAAGAAGTGGATTCAGCTGTGGATCCTATAATCAACAAGTTTGTGAAGGATAAATCCTAGAGAAGGAACCAAGAAGGATGAGAACAAACGGTGAATTAAAAGGAGCAAACATTGCTTGGAAGGTAACCAGAAGAAACTACAGAAGCAACGTGACGCGTCTAGTATCATCTCCTGTTTATCTCGTTCGATGTTTATCAGTCACACGCTTATACAATCATTGGCTTCCTACAAACTCCGATATAATAAGGCCTAAGAAAGTAGACGACTTTGTACTGTACTTGCACGTTTCCGTGAGAGGGCCCTGTTAATGACATGAGTAAAATATATAGCCGAATTTAACATTGTGTTTGATTCGGAGATAAAAAGCGATAGAATGAGGCCATTCTAATTTTCTAGGGTGGGATGTGGGATGGTTCGATGTATCTGTTTGGTTTAGCAGATGGGGGGTTATGGTGTCTGTTTTGTGTTTGGTACGATGGAGGTTGACCAATGAGAAGGAAGGAGTGACTCTAGAGGTTTGCCAAGTTGACACCGCCATTTGTTGCTAACACAATGTATAGCCAACTGTGGTAGCTAACGAAACTTGTCTTTAGTGTGCACCTGCCTAAGATTAAGTACAAATATAGCGAGATTAATGTTCCCCTCGGTTGCATTGCTTGAGCTGGTTGATGAGATATAAAGAAAGAGGTGGATTGAATAGTTGATCCCATAATCGATAAGGTGGTGAATGAAGGAGGGATCACATAGAAGCAACCCATAAAAGGGTTGGAGAAATTTCACCCTTTTTTATTTAGCCTGTTTTAATTTAATATTTTGGTGAATAGCATGCAGAAAACTAAATTTTCAAGAAGTAGGTTTTTTTGTCAAATTTGGTCACATCAAGCTGCCGAGTGATGAGACCATTGGGTGTGGCGTGACTTAATTAGCACATAACCAAGTTAGAAGTTACACCAAACTCTTTAGTGTGACTAAATGGTTACTTTTAAAAATGTACTTCTCACGTGTTATTGTTATTAAAATTATAGATTTAAAAAGGCTAAAACAAAAAGAAATTAAAGAGAACTAGAGGAGAGGAATAAATAAATTGGCAGATGAAAGAAGCGCACACTAGTTCGGCAGTCACCAGAAGATGCAAAATGCCGTGTGTCACATGATCCCGTGTTTGCCTGATTGCCTCGGTCGTTGTTTTCAGTCACGTGCTTGTTACAGTCACTGACTTCTGCGAACAAAAAAAAAAGTTTGTCGACACTTGTGGACTCTGCCGACAAATTGTATTCAACTGCTGCCATTACAGTGAAATGGTAAACCGGTAAAAGACCGTTCTTTCCCACTCCGTGGATCCAGTCTTCTACAGTGAAACGGTGAACTTCCTAGCCCCTCTGCAACGCGGGGTTTTTTTCCGTTTTTCCTGTAAAAAATGGACCAAATTCTATAAAATTCCTGTAAAATCTCTGTGAAATTCTTGCGTTCACTCCCGCAAGAGGGCAGCGGCGCGGGCGTTCGGCCCGGACGTCCCGCTCGGCGACTCCTACACTCCCACATGGGAGCAGTGCAACGCCTCGGCGCGGCAGCAGCAGCCGTTAGCGACGTCGGCCGCGCGTCCTACTGGCACATGCTTGGAAGTTCTGATCCGGCCGATCGACCAGCCTGGACATGCCACGGCCCTACCACCTGCTGAGTTTTCTATAGCTCTCAGTGCTAGCTCGTTCGCTGCGGTTTGGATCGTGGCCAGGTTGGCCGGCCAGCTCATGAGCGAGAGGGCGAGGCGTCAAGAGCGTAGGACAGGCTGCGATATGCACAAAGAGCCGGGATAACTACCGTGCAGTGTGCTGTACCTTACAGCAAGGGGCCATGGATCAGACGACGACGTGGGATTTGAGCTAGGTCATCTTAGGGGCATGAGCAATGTTGAGCCACCTTGTTGTCAAAAGAAAAAATGTTGTGACCCCACTAATTAGCAAACGACCGCCGGTTCGATCTAAAACCAGTGACCAATCCCACATCTCCCGAAACTTTGTTTCTGAAAAAAAAATCCTGCATCTTTTCTTTTTAGGAAAGTTACAAAGTTATGTATATAACTGATTGTACTATCTCTGTCAAAAAATATGCAACTACGTGTTGCGTGCCAGTTAAAGTAGTTCACGTTTGACTAAGTTTCCAGTGGATGTTATTCACATTTATGACTGCAAATCAAGTTACTAGTAAAATATATTTATAACTAATCTAATGATATTTATTTGATATCATAAATATTGATAGTTTTTAATCTATAATTGATCAAATTTAAGATACTAAAACATGACACTGTGCTAGAATTACATCTTTCTGGGACGGAGGGAGTACCACTTTTTTTGTGATAACTTATTATCACAGTGAGATTCTTCGTACTTGCGACTCTAGGAGTAACATCCATCTCTTGAGCACTTGTGACACTCGCCGGTGATTTGGTTTTGATTTGTTACTCTTGGGTTCTTGGAACCTTAGGCGGCTAGGTGTTGCCCGTTGAAGCCTCATCTCTTGCTTGTGAGGTGCTCCTGGAAGTTTGTATAACCCTCTTTGTTCGAGTGATATTTTCTGGATTGATCTTTGTGGTCGCTAGGGAAAGAGGAGAATTGAAAGAGACTCTAAAGACCTTTGTGGTCGCCTCAACAACAGGGATGTAGGCACAACTTTGTGGTATGGCCGAAGTGCCGAATCTCGGATAAATCTTGTGTCACCATGTGCTTGTGATCTTGTGATTGCAAATCTTGTATTATTTGTTGTGGTGGCCTGATCTATATTGCGTATAGGTATTGGAGCAAGCTATAGCGTGGAATCACTTCATATTATATCCCTATACGGTGGTAAAAACATATTTGTATTTTTGTATAAACTGAATTTTGTAACCCTAGTTCGTTCACCTTTCACCTGGACCATGTTTTGCCTATTCACCGCCTCTAGGCATTGTGATCCTTTTAGTAACACCATCATCGTTGGAGTGGTCAGGAACGTCTTCAGCTGATCGTGGGCCTGCTCCAACTTCTTGGGCAACTTGTATGTGGGCATCCCCGCTCTCCTAGTCGGGACATGAAATGGCTGAGCACCGCCATGCATCCCGTGTGTTTTTGGGCTTCCTTCAGGTTGTTTATCAACCCCATCTTCATGACTGCTGAAATTTTCTCTGAGTTGGCCTCGATGCCATGCTCAAAGACCATGGATTTGAGTTGCTTTCCCGACAGGACCCAACAACATATTTTCTGGGGTTGACTTTGATGTTGAACCATCGTAGGTTCGTGAAGGTCTCCTCCAAGTCAGCGACAAACCGTCCCGCCTTCTTAGACTTGATGACGATATCATAAACATACACCTCGATGTTGCATAATATCTGGTCATGGAAGCATTTCTTCTTACACCATTGGTAGGTGGCGTCCGTGTTCTTCAAAGCAAATGGCATCAGTACGTAACAAAATGAGTCGAAGGGAGTGAGAACGAGGTCGATCTAGTGGTAGCATGAATACACATTTAGGAAACAGAGGGTTTTGCACCCTATTGTCGATACCAGTTGATCAATTCAAAAGAGAATGGATCCTTGGGGCATATTGTTCACGATCCTATAGTTAACACATGTCATTTGTGCTAGATTTCTATGAGCCTAGTCGCGCCAAGGTCTTCTAAGGAAAATAGATCTACCATCCTCTCCTTTAAAAAAATTGCTCACTAGCTTTTCTAATTTTCTCGAACTTAGTTTAGTCATATATTTTTTCATTTATAATTGGATTCTCGGTGAAAATAAAAATAAAAATCCCACTGAACGTTTTGAAATTTTTTTTTTTTACCACTGTTTTAGAACTTTAAACTAGAATAATCAAGAATAAATAAATACCCATAATAAAGTGATTATAAGCTGAAACAAACATGACCTTTGCTGCTCGCACTACTCTCACAGGTCATAGAAAGCAACTGAAAATTGGAAGCTAGGCTAGAATAATCCATGTCAAACAGAGTATAGTTATCCTAGCTAGGAACCAAAGCTAAGAGTTTATGCAAATACGTAGCATCTTAAGAGTAAGAATGGAGAAATGGAAATTAAATCAATGATTATAATTACAACAGTTCATAGTTTCATACGAAGACGGAGAAGAAAAGGGAAAGAAAAAAACAAAAGCGGGAGCAAACGAAGTGGTCAAGAAGCAGAGGAGGGATCAGGACCACTGGATAATCTAGAAGGCGTAGACGGCCGCGGCGACGGCGACGGCGGCGAAGGCGAAGGCGGGGCGGAGGCCGGCGCCGCCGCCGGCCGGGGTCGCCGGGGGCTCGGCGGAGGGCGAGGGGGAGGACGCGTCTGGGCCGGGCACCGGAGGGGAGGCGGTGGGAGCCTCGGGCGCCGGCGCGGACGCGGACGGCGTGGGGGCCGGGGTGGCCGCGACCTTGGGGGCCGGTGCCGGGGCCGCCGTGGGCGGGGCGACCGGTGCCGGTGTCGGGGGAGGGGTCGCGGGGGGCTTGGGTGCCGCCGCGGGAGCGCCGCTGGGCGCCTGCGCCGTGGCGGCCACGGCGAGGAGGGCGAGCACGGAGAGCACGGCGAAGTGAGAAGCGGCCATTGTGGTGAAAGAGCTCAGCTCGGGTCTCTTGGCTCCCTTCTCGCCTGCCTTGTGCTTGTGCTGCGGTGAGAGCCCGTGAGAAACGACGGCGAGAGTGCGTGGGAGAGGACGTGCAGACTGCAGAGGCGTGGGGCTTATAAAGGTGGCAGCTTTTGCGCGAGCACCGAGCTGAGCGACGGAGCGAGCGGCCGTTGTGCTGGACAGCGCCGATGCAGCTGCCCTTGCCTGCCTGCATGATTGCCTCGCACGTCCCTTGCTTCCATTATTGAGACTTTGAGAGGCTTTCACGTTTGGAATTTTGCTTTGGTGACAGTGTCTGATCAAATCATCAAACGTAAGCTGTTGTTGGTAATACACTAATGGATTAATGATGAGCTCTCTAACCACAGATTATATCCCTCCGCCGCTTCACGTCGTGCCATACTGACTGACATGCACGATCAGAAGAAACACAAGGGTCTCTCTGGAATGAGGGCCCTCGGGGTTGTGGCCCCGCTTGTCAGCTAACCACCACCGGCACCACGTTGCTTTGCTTGTTGACACTTGGCAGGCGAAGGCAGGCAGCCTTGAAATGAGAAGTTGGAACTGCAATGCTGACTGAATGGATGTCTGAACCTTGAATGGTTTTTCTTTTCACCTGAAATCAAGCCAATCGGTTGGCACTGCATCGTATTCAGCACCGACTGATCGATCGATGACTCTGAACGCCAGCGTTCAGTTTCCATCACATGCAGATCACACGAATTCGAAGTGTGGCTGCTGACTTGATGCCGCAATGCCAATGCGTGGACGTTGGGCCTTACGTACCTTCAAGCATGCCCTGCCGCCGTCAAGAATTTCACGATTTCACGTTTCACCTGGTGACCGCTAATCAGGGATCAGGCAAAGGCAACGGCATGGTGCCGCCCGGCCACATGCCAGGGTGGACCCGTGTACGCGCGGCGCCACTGGCGCATGTGCGTGAGTGGGACCCTAGGTGGTGTTCGTTCACGATAAGAGAATACTGCCATCTCAAAAGGTGCTTTAATACCTTGCCTGTCTGTCTATGCTGTCTGCAAAGATTGGAAAGAGAGGAGGAGACAGCTAGGGGAGTGGCCGAATGGGGAGGGAAAATGATCAGATTCTCCTCCCTTTTCTGTCGTGTCAATGAAAGATCCGTTGGAAGAGAACCCAATTTCATTTGGGCATCAAAATGAAACAAGCTAGGCATGTAGTAAAAGTCGAAGATGTACTGGAGTATCTCTCTAAAAATACATAAAACATCACATATGGCTATATACTCCTATATAGAAGTACTACCCCCTCAGTAAAAATCAATGATGTACTGGCGTCAGCTTATAGCTGATCCATACGTGTAGATGCATGGTTTGCTGTTCCTGATAATAGATGTTGAGGCTGAAAGCCTGAAAACCAACAACAGCTGATGCCATTCTGCCTAGCCACAGCTATCTGACTCAAGGGTCCCAACCAAGTGCTCGTACAAAGCTCCTAGAATGCTGGTAGCGGTGGTTATTACTTTATCTGAGATAGACAAATGCTCAACGAATTTAAGTATTTTGTGAATAAATACATGGCACTTTGATGCTACTCTGCACAGAGATGAAAATGGTCACTTTTGCTCATCAGATACTCCAATGGTAAAGTTAGTGTCCTTTAGGAGCTGAGTACTTTATTGTTTTTTAATATTTAAGCCGACTCAATGTTTTCTATAGCATCAGTTCTCAAGAATAATACAGCTATCCATGGATCTGCCTGACATTGTCTTCCCTGACAGCTTCCTTTTGGCTGTATGCCACTTCAACAAAGCCAGATGGCCAGACACAATTATACAGCCAAGATGTACTGAATGCCAGCAAAAGCATCTGATAACATAAGCAAAGGCATAAAGGATTAGTCCCAAGCTTGATAGCAGAGTGATCAAAGAAACATTGATCAAAATCCAATTGTAATATTGTATATAGCTACCAGTGTGAATACACAGCTCCAACATTGCCAGCCTTCCAGCAGGCACTACAAGCAGATTATTATTGCCAGATGGGGTGTTGTACTGTTGTACCAGACGGCATGCAAACACAAACCTATCCGTGCGATACAGAGAGTTGAGGCAAACACAAATACATCACCAGGCCATGGCCGTCAAGTATGGTATGGGCAGTTGCACTGCACCTGATGAAAAACTACATCAATCATCAAAGGATACCTCACGCTCAACTAATCTTCAACCTTCTAGCACTGTCATTGAAAAATCAGAAATATATTCTTAGGGGAGGAAAGGAAACTAGACAACTTTGAAAAGGCAACATATCAAGTGCAAACCAACCAACATGTGCAAACTTAGAAACTATCATTCATGACTACTAGATGCTGATCCAATGGATGGGGTGAGGGGGCTTAAGCGCAAAAAAAAAAGCCGGCGGGTGGGGAGCTTAAGCGCAAAAAAATCCCGCCTCTCACCCTATCCATTGGATCAACATCTAGTGATCCTGATTGATAGTTTTCAAGTTTGCACAAGTTAGTTGGTTTGCACCTGATACGTTGCCCTTTGAAAAGGCATACGACAAGGTAAAATGAGATTTCTTACACCAAGAGTTATGGATGAAGGCTTTCTACCCAACAGTGTGCTTGGTTATATCTTTTTGTCAAAGGTGGTAACTTAGGGATTAAGGTTAATGATCAACTGAGATCCTATTTTAAGAATAGAAAGGGCCTTAAGCAAGATAACCCACTATCCCCTATCTTTATTTCTCAAACACACATGAGAGCTGCATATCTTTTATATTAAGAAAAAAGTATGAGAAATCCAAAAATAACAAAGATCAAGACACCTCAACACACAGCCACAACAAAGCTCACACACACTCACAAACAAGGGATGAACAACCAACGAACAAAACAATTGGGCAACACCAAGTATCCGTTCGGTCAACAAGGTGATGCCCCTGACATTCACTAGACTCCATAACTTTGCTTCTTTGAAGACCATAAGTAGGATACCGTACACAATAGGCGAAGCACAATCAAAGACACACTAATTCGGTAATTTCAATGGGCCCAAAGCGACTAGGCTCTAAGAATTTAAAGAATTAAGACCCTACCTATCCTGACCATCGATAGTCTCAGTGGAGCGGCACTACCACTTCAAAGGGAAGCTCAGTCGGCTGGGGAGCAAGTTTCTGTAGCCTAAATTTTTGTCTAAAGAAGACACAAGACCAATAGGTCATTGATGGTTTCCACTTCTTGATCACACAATAAACATTTGTGGTAATGCTGAAGATCCCACCAAGCAAGACGATCTATAGTCCAACACTTATTGTGCATGACCAATATCCCCTATCTTGTTTAACATTGTGGTGGATATGTTGGGAATCATCCTAGCCAGGGGCAAAGAAGATGGTTAAGTGAGATGGTTAGTGTCACATCTGGTGGTGGAGCATGGGTACCCATTTTACAACATGCAGATGGCACGGTATAATTATGGACAATGATTTTGAACAGGGAAAGAACATGAAGCTTCTTCTTTGTGCTTTTGAACAATTATCAGGTCTTAAGGTTAACTTCGACTAGAGCGAAATCTTCTATTTTGACCTGGTAAAATCCCGTGGGGGCACAATACTCACTACCATCCCCGAGGAATAATGAGTCTATGACGATGACTACTTTGAGCGCTTTGCCGATGCCTCGATCACTCGTTGTTCCACGTCTTCTCCAAGGGCATGGCGAGCATGGAGGTTGTGGCCCTGAGGAACCAGGACCCAGTGTTGCCATGCTCACGATGGTTGTTTGTGGGGCCTAATGGGAGGTGGTGCTCAAGGAGGGCCTCGACGTCACTGGGGTTGGGCATCCACAGTGGTGGCTATGGGAAGAAGGAGAAGAAGATAAGGTTGAGAGGGGAAAGAGATTTGAACAATAGATTTGGTACCCAAGGTCAAAAAGCAGACAATTATTTCAACAAAAATCTAAATCTGTTGATAGATAAATAGCAATTCTATAATGTAAAACGTTTTGGTTCGAAATTTTCACATATTTGTAATAGCTGTAGTTTGAGGCCTCTCCGTTATGAAAACGAGGTAGAAGCCAGAATATTTTTCATTTTTTTTGAGAAACCGAATATTTTTCATTATTAAAAAATAAATATTCTTACTGGAGATATTTTAGCGTAAGTATGGCCCATTGTTGTTCTGGCCTGAGGCACTTCTTCTGTTCGATCTGGCTGGAGAGAAGGAGACCATGCCACTTTGGGCTTTGATTCGTTTACTTGGCTTGGCGGGGGACCAAGTGTAACGGCAAGTGCAGTTGTGCATATGCTTAGCAGGCCGGCCCAGTATCTTCTCTGTCTCCTTGCTATACTCTGGGCCCCCGACCACACCCACAACGGTTCTTCAATCACACGAAAAAAATGTGACCTTCCACTCATAAAAAAAACGAAAAAAATGTGACCTTTGCACACAAAAAAACCGAAAAAAATGTGACCCCACAGGTCAGCTGACAGACGAACATCGCCTTCAGCCTTCCTGTACGTACAAAAAATACAAAAAAATATCGGCCGTACACGGCGTCCTCTTATTAGCGACCCCACTAATCAACACTAATCCAAGATCCCCGTCCTCCAGGTCCCAACCAATAGGAGCGCGAGCTTTACCCTCCTTGATCCGTGTCACAGCTAAACGGCCATCATCTACCGTCCGATCGTGCGCAGCCAAGCACAAAAGCGCCCGATCCGCACCGTCCGTTTGAACCACCAGCATTGACTGCCCCATATATAAATCCCTACCCAACCGCCGCCTTTAATCGCCAGTTCTAATCTCAGGTTGGGGGAAAAAGTCTCGCGGGTCGCAAACTGCTCTCCGCTGATTTGGGATTTGGGAGGCGCTCGAGGTAATCATGCTTTTTCGATACCGTATTTCGAATTTTCGATTCCTGTAGTTGATGATTCGTTCGTGGTTCTTGCTAATTTCTCCCAGCGGCGCTCGCCGCGAATTCGAATATCTGTCGCGATTAGGGTTCCATGATTAGGGATTAGGGTTGGTTGTTCGGTTGGATTTTCGGTTCGCTCATGCTTAATCTCGTGTACATGTGGTTGCCTGTGCTTATTGGCTGCGGATTTTTGCGTTTGGAAAGTACTATCGTAATGCGCGGTTGCCAGTCGCATGATTTCGCCAGTATACATGATCAGCGTCTTAGGCATCAATCATTTACCGCGAGTATTCGATTTCATGGGCTATAGTAGTATTAATTTTCGAATAATTCGAGTACATGCTGTGTGATTTGTAATTTGTAAATTTCCTCATTAGAAGAACTTATGCTACTGAGATATCGTAAGAACGGATGGTTATAGATGTGGTGTAGTTGATGCTTGTTATATCATGCCTTATCATTGGATTCAACAAACCTCGTTCTTTTATAGTTAGGCATCGGATTGTGAGAATGTCCTTGTGGGTCTCTTGAATGTTGTCTTTAACTATTGAGCAACAATAATTCTACTGATGTTCTGTATACTTAAACTAATGTACATGGTGTATTTATATGTGTTCGTGTATTGCTGCATGAAAGCAGCAATGTTGATGTTAATTGTTTTGTTCCTTATTAAAAAAAATGCCCAAACCTGCAAGAAACTGTTAATGTGACACAAATATATAAAATTTAGTATTGATATTTCACGTCTGGGGTGGTTCACATTATCATTTTATGGGTGAATCAATTTGTTGAAAGACAGGTTCATGATATTTTGTATCATTGGATTGTTATATTTGTGATAGGATGGGATAGTGATCTGGCTACATTATCTGTCTATTCATATTGTCTGTTCCTTATTCATAGTTGTTTATACTGTTCGTTGTGGATCATCTCCCCAATGTTGTTCTTTTGGGTTAGGATAGGTTGAACTTTATCATTTAGAATTTATATTTTCCAAGAAAATTATTCTATAGCTCCATCGTGCAGTAGAACTAGTAGATTTGGTTTGACACCTCTGCATGGGTGACTTAGTTATGCAATTGATTTGTCAGGAGTATTCTAAGGATTTTGGCTAACCTTTTACTTATTACCTTTTTTTTCAGTTTTCAGGTAAACCATTGTTTGGTGACTCATGGCTCGTACTAAGCAAACTGCTCGCAAGTCCACTGGAGGGAAAGCTCCTAGGAAGCAACTTGCCACCAAGGTTTGTTGCTAGTAATCTGTTCTTTTTTCGTTTTTTTGTTACTATTTGTAGTTATGCTGTACATACTTCCACTTTTGTGTGTGTGTATAAAACTATAAACTGGTCATAAAATTGTGAATTGGACAGTAGGTCGTCTTAGTTTTCTTTGTAAAACAATCATTAACTTAGTTTTGTTATTTGACAGGCTGCCCGTAAGTCTGCACCCACAACTGGAGGAGTAAAGAAGCCTCACCGTTACCGCCCTGGAACTGTTGCTCTTCGGTGCGAGATAAATAATTCTCTCATTGTTTACTGTTCACACTTCAAATAAGTGTGCCCTATTGACAAAATCCTAATTGTTATCCCTGACTTTGCAGTGAAATTCGCAAGTATCAGAAGAGCACTGAGCTGCTCATAAGGAAGCTTCCATTCCAGAGGCTTGTCAGGGAGATTGCCCAGGATTTCAAGGTGAGATTTGTTTTCATACTGTCTCTTGTGCTCAGTCATGTAATCTTGCAATTCTGAAGTAAACATAGAAGCTTATTTGTCATCCTGTTGTATTTGTGCAGACTGATCTGCGCTTCCAGAGCCATGCCGTCCTTGCGCTGCAGGAGGCTGCGGAAGCATACCTGGTCGGTCTGTTCGAGGACACAAACCTATGCGCCATCCACGCCAAGCGCGTGACCATCATGCCCAAGGACATTCAGCTGGCAAGGAGGATCCGTGGCGAGAGGGCTTAGTTTCTCTGTTACTGAGAGTGGCTCTGGTAGTATGGTGTGCATCTGTTCGATGCTTGCTTTTGTGGTGCTTAACATTTGTGGGTGTTTGAACTCTAATGTTCATTCGTAGTGGAGTGGTAGGAAGTGCTGCAATCTTACTATGTCTTTAGAATCTATAATTGTTGCCGATTAGTATTTGTCTAAGTGCTGGTTTCGCCCATCAACCTGATGGGTTATCTGAACCTCGAATTTATATGTTAAGTTGTGAACTTCGTTATATTGTGTCAGCAACTGTTTCATTGTATTGTGCTGAGGTTTTTGTGTGTCTGCATGTTGTATGGTATCGATGTGCCGCTTCATCTTTCGGCGGCAGCAGTCATGAACATTTCTGCTTCCTTGCTTCAGTAGCAGCCAGGACAGTTTTCTGTCGAGCCCGTTACCGACAGGAGGCGGCAGGCCGGCAAACAGCTGAGTAGCAGCGCGAGAAGGCTGCATTCGCCATTCGCCCATAAAAAACAGAAGGAAGGCTGCATTTTCGTTTTAAAAGACCCGAAAGTGGCGTCCTTTTGGCACGCGCCACGACCAAGGCATTTTACCCGTGCAGCCTTGACTGACCGGCCGGTCTTCCACTCTTCCATCCCGATTGTTTCAGACCAACCCACCATTCTCGCATCTAGTTGACGGTTTCATCTCTTCCCATCGTTACTGAACTCCGGCCAATCCAAAAAACTTCAAGCTCATTGCGTGATTTAACTTTTAAATCCTTATGATATGATTATTATGTCTGACCTGTGAGCTTGACCCGTTTGTTGATTCGAGCATGAATCACACACACCTAGCCCTGCTAGTGGGTTGTAAACTTGTAATCCTGAGTTCCTGACTGTATTCGCACCAATTCATTTCTAATATGCAAAATTAATTAATCCATACCCGAGCATCACAGGCGCATCCAAACGCTAAAGGCTGCCGCGCTGTTAATGATGGCATGGCCGGGTGCTGTCAAGATGTTGTTTTAGAAATATAAACAGGGTGTTGTTTTAGAAATATAAACAGAATGGTCAGGTCAAGTCTGACTAACCTGGCTGAACTCAGCGGCCGTCAGGCAGCTTTCGTAATACTACACACGAAAAAGATGTGATAAAAATCGTTCCGACTACGTTGATCAGCAGCCTGTTTAGTTTAGATTGGGTAGTTTTGTTGTGTATTCGGTTGGTCACGCTCACGCACTGCTGACAGGCCAAATTCCCCGAGAGGTCGACAACGGCGTGCTCAGTTAAACTAAACTAAAACAAAATCGACGCCCTTCTTGTCTCATCAGCGTGTACCAACAACATTTACTCATAGAAGAGTTTAATTAACGCCTTTCAATTGCTTAACAACACCATGTCTACCAGCGATTTTCAAGAAACAAAGTAAAGGTGATCGATTCAGTACGATGCCAGGCAGCATCATATGATATCCGCAGATATTTTTTCCCCATCACTCATTATTCATGATGCCATTGCCTAGGAGAGCTTTTCATTTTCTTGTAGCAGTAACACTTTCACCAGGCGTCCAGAGACATGGACTGCTAACTGAAAGTACAAGATTCTTTAGGAACGGGCCTAGAATCACGTCTGATGCAGTGCAAGCTTTGTTTGTTTTTCTAAGCTTTTTCAGGGATTTTCTCAGATTCTGTCGAAGGGTCGGTGACACCAAGAGGATCCACGTCAAATGACAAATCCCAGTCGCTGATTGATCCTTTTTGTTTGCGGAAGAATGGTCAGCCGTGCAACTTTGTTTACATACAGGCAGGACCGCAGGAGGCAGCAGTCGAAAGAAAACCGGCAAGGGCCATTGAGTAGACGCAGACGCCGAAAGGAGCTCATCTTTACTTCGTGCTGCAGCACTGTGGAGGCACGAAGCTTAACTCACTCGTTTTACGTCAGAAGCCATGCGCCGTGATTTGCTCTGTCATTATTCAAGCAGAAGTGATCACCGGCGCCTTTTTGAAAGTGTGGAAATGATCAAAGATGCCTTTTTAGATGAAATTCTAAGAAAGCCTTGATACTAGATGATCTGCTTGCCTGATCTAATGAAGCATGGAGAAAGACTCAAAAGTCTGCTCTCTTTGTTCTGCCTTGTCAATGGTGATATTGATTGCCAGATGGGTTCTAAACAACCAAACAATCCACAGTGCTAGGAACAGGTTAGCCTCGTCCATTCTGTTTTGGACGCCTTTTACATCTATGTGCAAACAGCATTTACGTGGCATTTTTCAGTGGTAAGGTGATGGATAAGAAGCCAGATTCTTTCGGAGGTATGTACATCGGCTGAACTTAAAAGGTTCCTTTCTGCACTGAAAGGATTGCTGGCGAGGCATCAAAGCATGCCACTTCATATATAATCATAATACTAGATTAAAAAACATATTGTGGGATCTCTTCTAGTTCAATGTTGAAAGGAGTATAACGTTACCACGTCAATAATTTTGCTTCTTTCTTGGCATTGGAATGAAAGCAACAACAGCTCACTAGGTAGGACTAAGAGTGCGTATCGGCAGAGCCTACCCTACCCTGCTTATGTGCTCCTTTCTTGGCATTGCGTGCTAGGCAAACGAGAAAAACGCTGTGCAAGTTCATTTCCAAGCTGTGTTATGTGAAGGTTCAGAGGATCGGAGCAGATGGCTAGGCGGAAGACTTATGGTTACAATGAAGGTTCAGAGCAAACGCCTTCACTGCATGATAGAGAACATGCCGTCTTAATTATCTGCACTGACAAATGGCCGCCTTAGCAACAGTTGACTTTTGCGTTGTGGTTCTAGAAGTTTAAATGTCAAAAAGGTTACGCCGAAACGTATCCAAAGTTTAAATGTCTCTGTTTTGGACCCCTTTTACATGTATGTATGTGCAAACAGCATTTACGTGGCATTCTTTCGGAGCTATGGATATCGGCTGAACTTAAAAGGTTGCCTTGTGTACTGAAAGGATTGTTGGCGAGGCATCAAAGCATGCCACTTTAGATAATCATATTACTAGATTAAAAAAACATATCGTGGGATCTCATCTAGTTCAATGTTGAAAGGAGTATAACTTCATCGCATCAATAAATCTGAAGGTAGGACTAGAATGCGTATTGGCAGAGCCGACCCTGCTATGTGCTCCTATCTTCTTGGCATTGCGTGCTAGGCAAACGAGAAAACCGCTGTGCAAATTCATTTCCAAGCTGTGTTAGGCGAAAGACTTATGGTTACAATGAAGGTTCAGAGCAAACGCCTTCACTGCATGATAGAGAATATGCCGTCCTAATTAACATCTGCACTGACAAATGGCCGTCTTAGCAACAGTGACTTCCCGTTATAGTTCTAGAAGTTTAAATGTCAAAAAGGTTACACTGAAAGGTATCCAAAGTTGCACCTTCTTCCAATCTTATCACATCACCTTCAGATAATCAGATTCGACCCCTTTTAATCATTGTGTCAGCCGTATGACTATAAACTGTTGAATTTTCAGCATGAAAATGCCAAGCTCTGGAAACAGTTGAAATTTCAACACAAGAAAAATGCATATCTGATTCAACAACTTTTCATTTCTCGTGTATTCAGACGAACAGAACAGAAGTACAGAACTACAAGCAGTATATCGAAAAAAAAAAATTTAGAGTGTGTGTACTGGCGCTAAATTCGGCTTGTAGAAGCTTTTCCTCCTGAACAAATCACCGAACTTGCGGAATATCGGCCTCTTCTTCTTGTGCTTCATGGAATCCTCCATGTCAACGTAGTGGCTCTCGTCGACGTGATCGAACTCGCCGTCGAAGTCCTCCATCGCTGCGTCTGCTGCGGACTTGAGATCGGCAATGTTGCTCAGCGACGCGAACACCCGGTCCTTGGGGTTCAGGTTCCCCATCCGCGCCGACTGCGAGAGGCCCGTCTTCAGCTTGCCCGGCTCGCCGATCGAGTATCTCCGGCGGCTCGGCGTGCGTGGCTTGTCTTCCATCCACCGCTGCGACGCCGACTGCGGCGTTCCGTTCTTGCTGCCAATACCATTTGGCAGGCGCTGGTCGAAGCCGTAGTCCGGCGCGGGGGCGGTCTTGGCGAACGCGGGCGTGCTGCACACCGTCGTCGTCGTCGTCGTCGTGGCGGCGAGGAGGCTGTTGAGCTCCTTGAGGCTGCCCTGCGCCGCGGCCTCGCTGACCTTGATGCTCTCGTACTCCTGGCGGAGGCTCTGCAGCGCGCTTTCTTTGTCGGCGACGGCGTCGTTGAGGCGCGCGTTCTCGGCCCTGGCGAGCTCGAGCGAGTCCTTGACGACGTTGGCCTCGGCGACGGCCTGCTTGAGGATGTCCCGCAGGCGCGCGTTCTCGTCGCGGATGACGCGCTGCGACTCGACCAGCTTGGTGTTCTCCTGGCGCGCCTTGTTGACGTCCTCCTCGGACGCGCGCACGCAGTCGAGGAAGACGCGCTCCTTGTCGTCCCACGCCGCCACGCACTCGTCGGCCTCGAGCCTGCACCGGTCGCGCTCGGCGGACACGGCGCGCAGCTCGGCCTCGGCGGCCTCCAGCTCGGCCTGCGCCTCGGCGAGCCAGGCCTTGACCTGCTTGGCCTCCATGGTGACGTCGGAGAGCGCGACGGATAGGTCGTCCAGCGCCTTGCGGCTCCTCTCCTCGCCCTGCATCGCCGCCCGGAGCTCGCCGCGCAGGACCCTGATCTCCTCGTCCGCGCCGCCGAACATGAGGTCCCTGACGCTCGTCCTCTGCTCCACGCCCATGCCGCCGCCGCGCCGCGCGGACGCGGCCTCGAGGCTCTTGTTCGCCTGCTGCAGCGTGGCGATCTCCAGCTTGGCCTCCTCGAGCGAGATCTTGGTCTGCTCCAGCTGCTTCGTCTGGTATATCAGCGACTCCAGCATCTTGCGCTCCGACTCCTTGGACTTGTCCACCTCCCGCTCCAGAAGCTGCACCTTCTCCGCGACGGCCCTGGCGCCGTCCTCGCCGTCCCGCCTCAGGTCCTCGAGCTCCCTCACGGCCCGCGCCTTCTCCTCCCGCTCCCT